TCTTGCTCTTCCTAAAGCTCTACTGCTACCAGTGGAATTTCTCACATAGTAGGAAAGTTAATCTTGTAGAGCAATTTGACTGTCAAAGGAAGGCTATACCTTTTTAATCTTCTGGAGCTTCAAGTAAGAAAAAAATTTTAAGAGGTCTTTGACTCAGTCACTGGAAGTAACTTTGATCTTCTATGAAGTATTTCTGCTAGTAAGGGAAAAGAGCAGGTTGCTTTACGTTCCAAAGATACTGAAATAAATTGTTGCAACCCAATTTCTCCTGTCTGTTTCCCATCTACTGAGAATAATACTAACTTCAGATGAAGACACAGGATTTGTTCCACTTTATGTTCTCCTTTCTTCCTTCCTATGTGGTTAATGTTCTGCTAAGTCTTTATCATTTGTCAGCATCAGGGTGTTGGAGCAGACTTTCATGACTGAGCTGTTGGTTTCTGTAACTAAAATGACTGGCAAAATGTCTGGGAGATTGAGCTATGCTGTAGTATTTGAGCAGATTTTTTGATGTGAAATTGTGTTTACTGAGTATATAAATAGCAGGCAGGCAAAAAGGTGAACTTGAAAATTGAGGGTGGCAAGTACTTTCTTGTCCTATATATTTGTAAGGCAGAGTAAGAGGGACACCTGGAGAAAGAGCAAAAGCTATAAGCAATTCTCTTGGCTTTATACCTTCAGTCAGGAAATAAATATTTTGTACCTGTGTATTTCATATCAGAACTCTCCTGATGGATTGTGCTTAGTGAACATCATCAATGTCTTGATAGTCCATATATATATATATGTCAATGAGAATGGGAGTGGGGAAGAAAGACTATTCAGCTTCTAGTAATAGTTTAGGTTAAACCGTAACAATTCTAGAAGCCTTCTCTAAGAGTCAGAATGTTGCTGCATGTAGTTCAAGTCTTGTTTAAGGTCAGACTGTTAATTGACAACATCATCCAGAGATCTGCCCAAAAGCTGGATAGTTTGGAGTGGCAGGGTCTATGGGATAGTATAGGCCAGTATCTAGGGCAGTGGATACCTCCAATATGTGTGCACCTCACCTCTGAACAAGTGCATAATCCAGAAAAACTAGTAAAATATTTGAAAAAAGTGTGCTCTGGCACCCCAGAGATGACCCAAATCACTGCAACGTGTCGGGGTGTGGCCCAGGCATATTTGAGCCATGTTCAATATTCTCAGTACCTTCAGGGGTAAATGAATGTCTCTGGTTCTGACAATATGACAACAACAGGCCCTGCAGCTACTCCAGCCACTGCGACACACATTGTGGCTACTTCAACCCTGGCAACAAACATTGCCACTGATGCAGAGCAACATCATGTGCCAGTGTCACTACTGTATACAAGCAGAAAAAATGTACGTGAAAGTCACCCTGTAAAAAAGCTTTAGCAAAGATGATCAAGGAGGACAAGGAGGTAGGAGAGGGCAGAGAGGATGAAGAAGAAGGGGCATCACATGCCATTGCCAAGGCCATCATTTTCAGTGATAATGAATGTGTTTTTATTCAAGCATGTTCTGGATTTTATTTTTGAGGAATTTCTTAATATAGCAATAGGTGATTTTATGTGGTTATTAGGGGGGAGATGAGGGACACAGGGTGGCATTCCTGCATGCATAGGAGCTCTGTTATGAGGTTATGTCTTGATAAGCTGTAGGGCCAACAAATAGTCTAGCGGTAACTAATCCATTAATTCCTGCACTATGTAGTGTGTAAGTTCAATAGATGCTATTGTCTTACAGAGAATCATATAAGAAGTCTTCACTAAGATCCAAATGAGAGCACAAATAGATGTACTCTCTAGGGACCTGATCAGAAAGTGTTATGACCCAGAAAGTTTGTATTGTGGATTGCTTTGTTTTTTCAGGGCCATGGTGTGTGAGTAAAATCACTTTCTTATTTCATAGGCTCTCAGTGGAATAATAGCGAGCATATGAAATAAGAAGGAAATAAAACTTTACCATTCATCCTGTGATGGTTGCTTCATTTTGGCTCATACAGCTATTATTCTTATTGTCCTCAAGCACTGTTCCTGGATGGTTCTATATGTACTTATTGGTAAAATAAATACAAAAAGAAAGGCAGACATTTTAGAGAAGATACAAGGTCAAACTGGCCTTAAACTGCAGTGAAACTTTGTATCAGAGCTAAGCTTAGCTATTGCCCGTTGGTCAGCCTGATTTAAAATGTTTTGTAACATGGAAGATTATTGAATTTTTTTTTGCCCTTTCCTCTTCTGTGCACTTGGATCCCCAGCAGCATCAGTGGTAGCTTTCATTACACCCAAGCAATGAAATTTCTATTCTTTCTGTATAGTGCTTTCTGTGGACCATGAAATTATTTGCCTGTATGGAATATTGAGAGGTATTAACTTTTTTGAAGCACTATCAATGTATAATTCAAGAGGGAAGTATATGTACAATATCCACACTGTACTACTGTGCAAGTCTTGTTGTGAATTTCCTTTTATTAATGTTTGGGAAACTTCTTTTAAGATGGCATTGTTTTAAATTATCCAAAGTAATTAGTTTGATGCGTGTTTAAATGTGCTTATAATCCTACTATCTCAATTTGTCTTACATGTTCTGCCTGATTAAATATATTCCAAGAGTGTGCTTTCCTCCTCTAGGACAATTGGTATAGGATTTGTAGAATAGAGGGAATGCTAATGTTATGGCCTGATGTGTAATGATGTAAAACATCTACTATACAGTCTGACATTCAAGAGGAGGCTAAAATCAAAACATAACTTAAAAATGAGAACAACTGAAATATTCCTTTTCAAGGAGGAATGGGCTCTCACCCCTGAATTAGTGGTGTTTGTTTATAGTGAAACTCTGGTACTCCATGGGCAATTTCATGGCAGAGACGAGTGTGGTTTGTCTGGCCAGAACTGCTATTGCTGCTGCTGTATGGAGCCAGAGAAGGAAGAGGAGACACGTGGGGAACACAGACTGTAAGGAAGGGAGTGAGATTTTTCAGGTGAGATTGAAAAAGGAGTGTAGGGCACAGCTCTCTAAAACTTAGTTTGTTCTCTGTTGACTGATTCAGGGGCTGAAATCTGTTATTTCAGCCCTAGTGTCTTCGCTTTTCATGTACTTCTAATCCGTGTATGAACCATCTTCAAATATAATGGTTTGTTTCTTAGGTTATGTACGTCATAGTGAAGATGTGGGGCTGAGAAGCTCCGGGCAAACTCATTTTTGGAGAAGGAAGGCTGCCTTTCATCAGTGTTCTGTGAAAGCCATTGCTTTAGAGGGAAAATCTTGTGTAATATGATTTTTGTGCAATTCCAGTCTAGTCATTTCAGTTTGCATTTCTGGCTTCATACTCCTGTGCTTACCGTAGACTTCTGAATGTAAAGGCAGAAAGGGAAATTGCTTTCTAGTCAAGATGTAGGATGTTTTTTTCCACTGATGACTCTGTATTTCACTTCCACTGATATTACTCTCTCTTTTGCTTTTGTTGCATTCTCTTTCTTCCTGGGTCTTGCCTATGTAATTACTCCTGTAGAGTGTGTTTTCCTCATTGCCTGCTGGCTTGATGGGACCATCATCCATGCTGAGCTCTTTTATGTTTATGCTATATTAATTCCCTGCTTTTGCATGTTCTACAACCATCTGTATGTAAGTGGCTTACGATCTGTTTCTATGTTCCAAAAACTGTTCCTTTTCAATTTTGAACAGGAAAAATTGAAGTCTTTTTGATTTTCTTCTATACCTCTCTTCTTGGATGACTGATAGTCAATTCTTGCTCTGACTAAAGTGTAACACTTGTACTCAATTTTTGCTACTAATTTTATTTGCTCTCTCTGATCTTAATTCCACAGATGCTATAATAATTTTACTTGCCATTTAGTTTGGTATCTTTGATGTACTTGTTAAACGATAACTCAAGATACTTATCTTAAAGATATATTGAAGCCTCAGAATATTTTTGCACAGCATTTGAAGATATAAGTCTATTGATATGGTTGAAATCTTTTTCAAAATCTCTTATGCATCAAATTCTACTGTAACTTTCTTCTGTGTTGACAAGTGTTATACTGGTGTTCACATCTGTTCAAAAGGCTGCTACAAAGATGATTAAGATTTAGTGCATCTCATTACATGTCAGCTGCTTTTGCGTTGTTGGTCCTTGTGTGTACATTAAAACACATAAGCTCTAGCACTGAAAATGTGTGAAGCTTCACTTGCAAGTCTTTATGGAAAAGTTGATAAAGATCTAACCAGTTAAAAACCCCACAACCCAAACCACTTTTCTGAAGGAGTTTTTTTTGTCTCTTGAAAGGGTAAAACCAGAGCAATTGACTTGTGCTGTTGATTAGTCATAAGGATTATTCATGAAATCATAAGTGTATCCTACTTAGCATTAATAAAGGAGTTGATGTTTTTTATGCTTCTCCGAAATGAATTTCTAAATAATTGGAACAAAGAAAGGCACTAAATTTTGTATAACATGATGGAAATTAAAAATAAATAGAACAGTGGCTTAGTTATGCTAACTCGTCTTTTAATAAAAAGTAGTTTCTTTGCATATCTATGTACTCTGTTGCCGTGTCAGGAGTACAGCTGTTTCAGAGTGACAAAAACAATTTCTAAACTATGTTTTTGGTATAAATCAGCTTGCTTTCTTACATTCTTCATGTAATGGTTGGAAAGAATTCTTCATAAATTGGTTTTGTAGATATCTATTCCTCCAAACTTTCTGTAAAATTGTCATGTTCTGCATGATTTCTCTATAACGTAATGGGATTCTGGTCTGTTAACTCAAGTGCTAAGGCCACTGACTGTTATATGTATCTTTAGGAAAACCCTCAAAAATAAGACACTTAAATAGCAGGCAAGCTACCACAGAAAAATAAGGATGTTTAGCTTCCAAGAACACATATGTTAATTAGGGTTGTATAAAATGGAAATAATATGTGATATGTTATACCTTTTATGTTTTCAGTTGGATAGATTTGCCAGTATTAGAATTCCAAAAAGTAAAAAAGAAAGACCTCCTCTGCCACATATGAAGCAGTCACATTCTACGGATTGGTCATCCACATCTATGGATCCAGAGGATTTTCCTCCAAAACCCCTGTCGGAAAGAGAAATCATAGCACTGTTTGAAAAAATGATGGTAAGAGTCTTACACTCATTGCTTTTACTTAAAGAATGACAATGTGGCTAACTGATAGGCAGAGCTCTCTTTTGTGCAGGTGTTCTAATCTTTACATGAATTATTAATATTGTAGGTGTTGTTCGTTGTAATTATATTATTACGGTGTTTCTCAGGGAATAAAGTATTGGAATTATTTCTGCAAACTTTTGCTCCAAGTTTATTTAAAATGGAAATTAAAGGTTTCTAATTATTGGAAGTGAGATTATGCAACACATTTTGAGGAGGAACAAGAAATGGGGAATGCTGCTTCCTTTTAAGATGACCTGAAACTTTCACAAAGGGATTTTATGCCTCGAAATGTCACAGCAGGGTTTTGGTCTGAATTTATATTCCATGTCACTCTTGCACAAAATAAAGACTTAAAGTTTCTGCCTCCAAAGCAGCATTTGTCTGCAAATACAGTCTCAAATTTGCTTCTTTCCTTAGCTGTCATTGTTACTGTGCTACAAAAGAGCAGTCACGAAGGTCATGTGGCATTGGTACCACCTCAGTAGATTGAATTTTTTTATCATGATGATGACATTTTGGGCAATTGAAAACTAAACATGGAATGGCCATGAGAAAAAGAGTGACTGCAATCTGAAGAGCACAAGGGAACATTAACAAGGAGAGCAATGCCTAGATTATTATTTCTTTCTCTGCCTCACAGCAAGTAACAAGTAACTTTCAAGAAACGCAAAGGGACTACCAGAGGCAGGGATGTGGAGGAAATTAAATGTGCTATGAGAGAAGTACCTTTGTGGAGTTTGTAATTCCTGCTACTCAGTAATGGCAACTTAGATTTGATGATGCTTTTGTAGAACTCTGGAGAACTTTAAGAGATAGCATTCTAGATTTACATGGTTAAGCTGGTGAAGGAGAGGAATAATTAACTGTGTTATCAACTTCTGTACTGCTACTCTTTTTCACATGGTCTGTTTTTATTGGTATACCTTGGTGTCTTGCTTTTCTTAGAAATTTCATGGTGAATCACAACTACTCAAATGTTAGGAAATGGGACAGTTTTTATAAAACTTGAAGGTGTACCTCCCACTCTACACCCCTCGGTGTATAGGTTGTATTTCTCCGCCATCCCACAGACATTCTGATACAGGATAGTCTGTGATGTTAATACTATACCATAAAAAATAGAAACTTTCAATAAATTCTCGGAAACCTACTATTGTGTGTCTAGGTAAATAGAAGTGCTTATATTCATGGATCCTGAAGTAATTAATTCCCATTTTAAAACTACTTCACAAAAATATGTTAATGATGACATCTGGAAAATTTGAATGCTTTCCTGGTTTCATTGAATAACAAAGTACTTAAACTGTATTAGATAAGCTACTTTATCAGTGTTATTTTATCTATAACATGTACTACAGAAGGGATTTTTCAGATTATCCACATTTGAATGGACTGGAATTAAAGCTAGTTTAGTCACAGTAGATTACATAGCTAATTATATATTGTAGCCTATAGTTTGCTGTTCTGATCAAATTAAGTGATTTGGGGAGGGTGGATTGGTGAATGTTGTAGCCAGGCTTTTAGAGCTAATTTTGCACAAAATAAAAATAGTTAATGTATTAGTATTGAAGGGAGAAGTTTTTAAATTCTGAAGGTTTACTAAATGTGTTATGTTACACTTTGGGTTTTTCTGGATGCATACTGCTTTCTTGCCCCAATATTCTGTGCAGTGGCATCCTGTGTGGTTTTGATAGCAAAAATTATGAAAGAGCTCATAACACCAGACAGTTAAAGCTAATAATTAACATCCTTGAGTACTATTAGGAAGATATCCATGTGAAATGGTGCATGGTTATTTTTCAAGAGGAAAATTCATCTGTAGAATATATTTCAATTATTTAAGGAATAAAAGGGTGGAGTTGAAATATTTTTCAAGCACAACTGACTTGCCACTTGCATTGCTGAATACTTCTAATTGGTTTAAATCAATTGTTTTAATGATGTTTCATTTGCTAAAAACAAGAACAAAGAAATTACTTTTAACTACAAACACAGAATGTTTCCTATAAATTACCTTGCTGTTATATCTAGGATTATGGAATGCAGTTTGTGGTGATAGGCTTGTTAGTTCTTGGGTTTTTTTGTTATTAGAAGTTAGATATTTTTATTTAAATTGAGAAGTTACTTTTCAAATCACTTAAAAGAGCAAGTCTGAAAGAAACTGCTTTAAACAGAAGAATGAACTTTACAACTGCTGTAGGATAATGTGAAAAGCTTCTCTCTTTGATCAAGTTAAGTTCACCAAAACTTTATCCAAGCTGAAATCAGGACGTGAGTTACGCATTTTCTGCAATGGCTTCTCACAGCTTGGATTTATACAAAACTAAATGTTTCAAGGAGCTGTGCTTGATTCTATTCTACTCAATATGAACACTACTGTAAGACAGGAAACCTAAGTTTCAGTGTAGTATAAATTCTAAGGCTTGTCTGTGGTGGTTGATTTCTGACTAGGTGAAATAACTTTGATATCGAGATGGTTACTCACTGATTTTGTAGCATTGCTCCTGCCAAAGCTGGTGGGGATTCACCTCATGAGTCTCAGCTGAAAATAACTACAGTAATTCTTACTAAGCTTGGGTAATGTACACAGTATGTGCTTGTATATGTGAGTGCCAAAATTGTTAATTGTTCCTTAAAAATATTTTTAATTTTTTGTGTGGCTTTGAGTGTAGAATCTCTGCTCTTTTTGACCTCTAGATTTATGTTGGAGTGAATGAATTAACATGGAGTTTTGAAAACAGTCGAAGGTGTTGATTTAATGATCAAATCTTTAAGAATGTGGGCCTTACATATTGCAAAGGTGCACATTATTTTCTGAACTACTCTCACTGTAAAACAGATTCTGCTGCCCAGGATTAAGTGTTTGGGAACCGAGGAAGAGAATTATGGAACAAATTAAAATTGACATTAAAAATACCTAAGATACTGGTTTGAGGACATTTATAAATGTTTTGGGAAGTGTTAATAATGCTTTTCTTTAGTTTATTACATTGTCTGAAACTAGGTCATTTCTAAGAGGAGTGTGCTAATAATGGTTGTGATGCACTTGTTAATCCCAGAATAGCTGACTGTGTTTTTTTCAGTCTGAGCTGAGGTTGCGAGGGAAGATGGATAAAGATATTTATGATTTTGATTAATAACTTACGAAAAGTTTTTTGTATAACAGCTTTCAGTTGCCTAAGTTTATATTTTTGTGTCTTTATTTTATTTATATCAATCTCTCATATTTAAATCCCTCTGTTACTGTATGGTATTTTTTTCCTCTCCCATTCCAGGAAGATATGAATTTAAATGAAGACAAGAAGATGCCGTTGAGAGAAAAGGATTTTAATACCAAAAAAGAAATGGTGATGCAATATATTAGCACTGCTTCAAAGTCTGTAAGTAAATGTCTCTGAAGTGTACCAAAATGGCTTAATGATTACCTTATTTCCTACTGGAGAGAAAAAGGATGCATGCATGTTACATTCTTTTGACCAACTTCTGTTTCTCATAATATACGTTAAAAATGTTCATATCAATCTCATTATTTTACAAGATATGATGGCATATAATCACTTGTATTTGAAGTGTGTCTTCTGTACACAAAACAGCATTTCTTTTTGGTAAAGAGGTGACTATTAGTGGAGATAGAAAGATTCTGCAGAAAACGTCTTACAAATGTTTGGTGTGAACCTTTTTTTTCTAGCATGGTTTAAACTTCTCAATCAATTAAACTCCTGAACTGATGAGCCTTTTTCATACCTGACTTCAATACAGAATTCATGTTGTGATGTTATGTAATAGCTGATAACGAAAATGTTGTGCACAAAGCCAATTAGTGCCCAGTTTTACTTATGGGGATAATTACTTGTTTTAAAGCAGTACAAGGAATTGTATGTAAGGACCAGTTTAAGGATTCAGTTGGCATGAGAAGAACTGTTTAGTTTTTGCAAAGTGGGGACTGACTCCAGTGCTAAATGCTGCAGTACTAATCCTGTTCTCAGGTCTTTTGATTGTTTTGGAATTCATATGTTTGATTCTTTGACTTTCACTGCTGCACATGACCAGTGATATCAGTAAAAATGGCCTGTATGTAATTATAACTAAATATTAAATATAGAAATTTTGATCAGATATTTATCTTATTGTCTACATTAAATGATGTACTTTATTAGTGTAATGCTCTGGCACTTTTAGAAAGGTAGGCATGCCGAGTGCAGGACTAAATTGCCTGGAGATTGTTTTACTAGGATGAGTTCTTCAAACTACTAGTCCTTCCATAGCATAACAGGTCCTTAATACCAGAAGATTAGGTCTAGCTTTGTTGTTTGTTTTTTTTAGAGATATTTTATCTCTAAAAATCAGGAAATTTCAGGCTAGTAAATCTCACAACATTCTTGAAGTTTATCTACCCAAAACATCACGTCAGGGTTTATATATCATGGACACCCCTAACCTCCACATGTATTCTACAACCTCAGTTGTTTGATCTTAAAAGTAATATGACATGACTGGCTGTGCAGAGTTGCTGCATCCACATCTATTGCTGGAATCTTAGCATCCTGATTTTGGTGATGTTAATGCTCTCTTTCTCAAGAGAAAGGTTTTCATGTTTTTGCTTCTTGACACTTAATACTTGGAAAGAACTGAAACCTGTACAACAGGTTTCATTGATCCTTCTTTCTGAGTGCCATTTGCCATAAATAATTTTTCTTTTGTCTTTGGATGTCATCACACTTGTATTTTGGCAATGGAGGTTCTTGCACTATGCCCGAAGCAGCATAGTATAGTATGTGTGTGCATATATATGTATATAGTATATCATATATATATATATAGTATGCTGTAGTGCAAGGTTCTCGGTTGAAGGGGGCAGGTCTGTTTCCTCCCCCAGGATAGTGATTTGTTCTGACACCCTGTCGTCTTGCATGTTTTCCTGAAGCTCTCAACAGCATTTTTTATCTTTCTGTTCCCATCCTCTGCTGCTAGCCCATGTATTCCCCTTTCTGCTGTGGGAAATCCATTCAGGGAAACTTGTCTTTCCTGAACTCTGTTTCTGTGGTTGTGTCCTTACTGGAAGTTACATTCACCTGTTACATAACTGCGAGGAACTGTTTTTGTGAGACACAGATTCAGATGTTTGATACACTAAAGCTGCAGATGATTTCAGATTACTGCTGAAGCTCTTGTGATGGGAAATTCCTTCCCTCTCACTTGAAAACTCTTTATTCCTGGCATGGGCTTTCATGTCTCAAGTTCATTGGACTGTCTGAGTGCCTTCGCAGTCTAGAGAGAATAGTGCACTGCACACGCAGAGTACTTGGCTAGCTTCTGGTTTTCCTTGACTTCATGAAAGGTTGTCATGCTTTTGCAGAAGAGGTGAAGTGCCATATAGCTCCTGTTGCATACAACTAATCCCATCCCACTCTCTTTCTAGTAGTGATACTACAGTAACTTCTTTTGGTACTTCATAATTCTCAAACTTGAAGGAGATGGATACTAAGCTATAGTATATTTGTATTGGGACAAATATCCTCACTCATAACTGTTATGCATAGTACTGAGCAGTTTCATTTAAAGCAGTTATCATTTTAAAAACTATTAAAATGAAGAACAGAGACTGTACCTCTAATGAATCACTGAAAATGGAATAGCCTCTGATCATCAAACTGGGCTTTACTATAATCAAAGCTTCACCATTGACTCAGTATTAGGATTTGTGTTTCTTAGAAATGCACAAGTCCTTTCCAATATTCATAAAACACACCTCTTTCCACAGTAATTCTTGCATAAAAGAAAAGTTTTAAAAGGAAAATTCCATTTTATGGACTTAATACTCAAGTGGAAATAAAACAGCATTGTTATCGTGTTCCTCTGCCATAAGTTTTGCTGTTTCATATGTTCAAAACCCACATAAACTGGCTTTTTAAAGTGAGTTTTCTTCTCAATATTTTGTTTCTGTTGTTCACATTACTCCTTGTAATGTTTTAACTAGATTAATTAATGCTGACTTCATGCTGCATCTGCTCACAGACCAGTTGTTCTTCAGTTGAGCAATTAGATTTCTAGAGGCACTGATGCCTCAAGATGTTTCCTGTTTCTCAGTTAGCTTGAGCATTTTGAACTTAAGCAGCTTTTCCTATGCTGAAATATAGCTAATATAATCAGTTTCACAATTGGTACCAAATGCAGCTCTCATTTTATTTAAGCACTGGCAGATGTATCACATTCTTATTATGTTGCAGAACCTTGGCATAACTATGAACAAGTGATACTTGGCACTGTGGGTATGTTGTACAGACGTTCAGTTTATTGCATAGGGTAGCGCTTAGGTGGGGAACTGAGTCTGAAACAGGATGACTGGTTACTGTATGGATATTGGTGTGAGTCTCCATTGCTTGTGACTCTGTCTTCAGATGGGTCACATGAAGCTCTCTGAAATGTTGTTCTAGTGGATTCTTATAGTCTATCTGGGCTCTTGTCCCATGTGACCTTCCCACTGTACACATTACTATTGATTATATTAAATTCCTTCAAAAATATTTTCTAACCATCTTAACCGTATGTCCTGTCTATATAGCTTATGTAACTGTCGTATATGACTGCATTAAAAAAAAAAAAAAAAAAAAAGCAATTTTACAACATGAACTGCTGGGAGAAGTCATTGGAAATGACAAATTTTCCACCCAGGACATTAATCGATATGCTTAGGCATACAAGTAGTGCTTATCAAGAAGTCTATGCACAGCAGGAGCTGCCAGCAGAATTTCTGAGGCTTCTTGAAATTTCTAGCTGGAGAGCTCTTCTAACATTTAGTTAAATACTTTGTCATGAAGGATGCTAGGAGTTTGTGTGGTCATTTTGTCTGTAGTTAGTTCGCTATCTTATCTATGCCGAGACGAGCTGGGAAGATCCATAAAGAAAACCGAGAAAACTGAGTTTCTTTTTGTTTGTGGGAGCATTTATTGTTATGGATTTTTTAATATTTTCTCTGAGTTTCCTAGATATCTTCTCCAGACTGTCTCATCAACCATCATCCCTTCCTGGACATCTCATCTATTTTTTTTTGTGGAACATAGTTATTGGAAGTGGCTCTCATATTTAAACAAATAGTAATCTCCATCAATTCAGAGGCATGTTTGGAATGACATTCCATGTACTACGTGTGGTGTTCCAAAATATAATATGAGATGCTATATTTTCAGGATGATTCCTGGCAGTAGTTTGTTTTTTGGTGTCTGGAGCATCTTTTATCAAGTCTGAGAAAATATAGTCGGAGCAGAGAGTATTATAGCCCACAGTGTTCTGTTGGTAGAGAGTCATATAATAGAATGATTGAGACTGGAAGAGACTTCTGGAGATAGTCTTTTCCAACTTCTCACCTATTTCCTTTTTAATGTCTCTGATAGAGGAGATTATACAGCCTATAATAGCAGGCAACCTGTTCCAGTGCTTGACCAGCCTCATATTTAAACAGAACAAGGGAAGAGAGGACAAGTTTTTGTTTATGTCTTATTTTGAACCAATTTCCTATATTTCAGTTTTTGCTTCTTGTCCTTTCACTGATAGGGTTCCCTGAGCCTCCTCTTCTTGGAGCTAAACAATCCCTGTTCTGTCTGCCTCTCCATATACTACAGATTCTCCTATAATTGTGTCCACAGCACTTTCTGAACTCATTCCAATATGTCCATGTCTCTCTCGTGCTGGGGAATCAGGAGCTGGACACAATACTCCAGATGTCTCACGAGTGCTGAGCTGAGGGGAAGGACAATCTCACTTGACTAGCTGGTGATGCACTCACCATGCATGCACTTGTCATCCATCAGAATCCCTTTTTTCCTACAAACCTACTTTCTAGCTGGTTGGCCCTGACACATGTAGGTGCATGAGATTATTTCTCCTCAGGTTCAAGATTTACCATTTTCTGTTGTGGAACTCTCTGAAATTCCTGCTGATGTCCCTCTGAATGGCAGCTCAGCAGCCTGGTCTGTCAACCATGCTTTCCAGCTTTATTAACTTCACTTCTCTGCTAGAAACTATTTCATGATCTTCCACTTCATGAGGAGAAAAGCTTAATTCTCAGTACTTTCTGAGGATCTTCCAAAGTGAGAAAACATAATCTGTATGAAGCTATCTATAATAACATAATGAGACCACATCACTATTTACAGTGAATACTTCCAAGTTATTATTGTGCTGCAAGCCTAATTCTCTTCAGTTTCTGACTTAAGCCACTAGTTAATCAAGAATTATTTAGTAAGTCTCCTTAGTGCAACATGACAGTTGTGCTCTGGCTCTCAAAAAGACGAGTCTTGCAATGAATTAACTCAAATATAGGTTGTATGCAACATTGTATGCCTCTTTCTTTGAATTTAGATATGTTCTGTAGAAAATATCCTTCATGTAAAATGGATATTAGGTGGAGTTGACTTCTTATTTTTCAATGTCTACAAATTTTGTCTTTACTATAGTTAGAAGGAGAGAAGGATAGTCTTACAAATTGGGTCAATGCCTCTTAGATTTGCTCATTTACTTGCAAATCGTAGAGCTTCATTAGTTCGGGAGAACCATTACTTTTTTAAAACCACAGATACTATATATCCTTCAGAAAAGTCATTAATATCTTGAATTTATTTTAATCAACATTTGACACAACAGATACAGTGATGAGTCAAAGCCGGTGTCTTTCAGGCTGTATTGCTTGGAACAGAAAGTATTTTGTTTGCATGAAATTGTTTTTGCATGCTGCATGAACTTTCTATTGCACTTTCCTTTTTATCTCCCTGTTCTCCACATCCCCATTTGCCTTCCCACCTGTCAAAAAGAGCAAAACTCAAAAAACAAGGCAAAATCCAAATCTGAAGGTTTGAGTAACTGTCTTTTATGTTATTGCATCAATAGTCATATTTGTGTTGCACTGCATTCTTACAGATGGCCAACGCAACAAATGAGCAACTGGAGTTTAACTTTATAATTTTAGTTCTAAAGGACTCTTTTTGTATTTTTTTTTCATTTTTATTTTTTAAATTCTTTTGCTTTAGCCCTTAGAGCCAAAGCTAGCCAATCTCATGTAGTCCTCATCTGAAGGGAAAAGTGTTTTACAACACTGACTGCAAGAACAGAAGTTACTACAGTAACACTCTGAATACACTTCTGATGTGCTGTATTCTCATGTGACTGCAGTCACCCTTCAGGACCTGTGCCTTATGATCTCTTCAGAGAACCTCAGAATTGGTTTTTTCTTCTTTTGAAAATTGAAAATTAAGGTGTTTGCAATGCATAAACAGAATCCATTCATTCGAAAGTTTTCACTGAGCATGCGTGATAAATTTGTACATTTGATGCCTGCTGCTTTTGTCTACTGAGTAGAAATTTGTTCATAAAATGATCAAAATTTAGTCAGCATTTGGCATACAGTAGATAGAGATCAGTTACAGGTTTAGGTCTACTGAAATTACTGTTAGCCATTAATAATTTATTTGAGTTCTGTATGCACCAAATTAAAAAACTAATGTATTTTCTGTATTTCAGGGAAGTCTCAAGAACAGTAGGAAGATTTCACCCCAAGAGTTTATTCAGGATTTAAAATCTGGGTCAACAGATGAAAGACTAGTCACTTGCTTAGAGTCTCTCCGTGTGTCCTTGACTAGTAATCCTGTCAGGTAACATCATTAACACATATTGCAGAGATTAATCATATTCTCATTTCTTAATGGATTAAAATTAATGGATATGTAGATGTAAATGGTTCAAGGCTTTCCAGTTAATGAATGTGTATGTATTAGTGAACGATTGTAATTTTTTTCTTTTTTTCATTGATTATATTTCTTCTGTAGTTTTATTATTTTTTAATAGAGTTCACTGACCTATGCAAGGTGATTCTAAGAGAAGATAAATTAAATGTAGTGCAGAGCAGTTCCCTTTGTTTTCTAGTGCTAAAGTTTTTTTTCCATTTTTATTTTTGAAATATTCTCTAACTCTTTGATCTTTTAAACTATTTTATCAGGGTGATGAATAATGGGAGTTATGCACCTTGGTGTAAGTTGTTCACCAGAAAGCATTTTTATTTTTAATTGTGTGCTATTTCTTCTGTCTAGTGTACGGTAAACTTTCTTCCTTGCTGCCCTCTGGTTACTTTCTCTGTGTCTGTAGAATTTATACAGAAGAAAGCACAACATTCATTTACCTTTACTTTTTTTGAAAGAAGGCTAACTCTTTAGTAATTACTGATATCAGTCTTGAATTTTGGTTTGATCCATGCATCTTGATTTGTGATTGCTGACTTTATTATATTGTATTTTTTTTCTATTCTACTCTATTTGCATTCTTTAGTTTTAGAGTTGCTGTTTAAGACAGTGACTAAACACATGATTTTGGGAAACTGGTTTGGGTTTAGTTCAAAATAATGCAAATTAAATGTTGGGAATGCTTATGATGGGACATGATCTAAAAAGGATTACACAACTTTTTTCTGTGTCTGGCTTGGCAGAGTTGTTTATATGGGTCTTCTGTATGAGTATTTCCTTGTATTAATTTGTTTTTGAATTGGATTGTCTTATTTAGAATATATAATGATACACATGGGAAGAAACATGCTTTATGTTAACCTGAGTTATTCTGACAGAGGGTTTTACAGAAGATATGCTTCCTTCATGAATATAAAACTACTTTTAGATATAGTATTGCTTCACCTTCTTAAAAAAGATCCCAACAACCCACAACCCCAGTGTTTTTGTTTTAATGTTTTTATTTGCATTTAGGTTTAACAAAGAAAACTTTGCTTGTTATTATAGGCTTGGAAAGAGAAACACAAAATATTTGAAATGTGTGACAACTTCTGCTTAGAGCAGTCTTTTCTCTCTGTTCTTGATATGAATGGATAGTTTTATCTTTTTGTATGTCATTCCCTTTGCTGCCTCTCTCCTACACACCAAGAGAAAAGTTAACCCCTTACCCCTCAAACCATAAAACAAAACAAAACCTGTGATCTTGGTGATGCGTTGCTGATATCAAAGAATCATTGCACTGATACCTTTGAGAAATTATTTTAACTTATTGGTACAAATAGTTCTAGATTGCAACACAGGCTTTAACTTTGTTCAAATATAAACTGCAGTAGGTAAAAAAGTTCACAGTTGAATCTAAAGTCCTAGCTTGACTATAATTTATTAAAGTATAACTTCAATTTGAAACATTATGTAGAATATAGAGACAGCATAAAAGAACTATAAGGCTTGCATTGGAGATGAAATCATTAAGTTAATGGATGGCTTAAGAATAGGTCTGAATTTGAGAGGTTTAAATTGGAAATAGAGTGACTGTGGCTTGCAAAAGCACCAGAGAAGAGGTATTTAAGTAGCAGTTCAATAAACAAAATGTCTACTGCTTGTCCATGAACACATTTTAGTCTACAGATCAAAAGAAGGATCACAACCAGTAGAACATACATTTTCTGAAACAGTCTTCTGGTGTATTGAGTTGGTACTGAGAAAAGTCTATTAAGATAGACCTCACTAGGCTTAAACTGAGCATTTCAAAATAGCCTTAATAAAAAACGTAAGTTCTTAAGTAGGGCTTATATACAAAAGTAACAAAAATGGAACAAAGACACACTGGTGACCTTGATTTTTCCTGTCAGCGGCCAGATCTTTAAGTAAGAACTTACTTTGACACATAAACGCTGAACTCTGGTTCAGCTGCTATAAATCCATGATTAATTTAGACTTTAGCTTCATGTGATATGGACAATGAGAAATCACTGATGAAACTTTGGGATTTTATTATTTGCATATATAATAACAATGGATAAAAGTGTGGTTTTTTTAACAGGTTGAGAATTAAATTTAGATTGAATTTAGCCTGACATTCTTAACATTTGTGAGCCGTGATATTTTTGACAATATATAATTTAGGGTTTTTTTCTGATTTTTCAATTACTATAGTTTAATCAATTTAACTTTTAAATCTTGTTGACATTTCAATTTCTAAGGAAAGAAATGGTTCTACAACATTGTTTTCAATTAGTCTTTCTTGTAAAATGTATTTTTAGTTCACAGAAAAAATTTAAATCAAGTGATATTGGTACTTAAAACAATGTAGTGAAATCTGTGGTTTACTGCAAAAAGCAATGTTTATATTCCATCAGTATAAAAATAAAGCCTCAGAAGGAAAATCTTGGTCACTAATCTTCAGGTAAATAATTTGGGTGTTTTGACCTCACAGTTGCCAGCACAGTTCATCAAAAGTGGTTCAAGTGATTTAGCTGTGCATAGTATTGCAGATAACTGGTTATCTACAGCTATTTATTGTCTTTTTATATAATAGTTGCAACAGATTTAATTTCATTAAGAGGTCATTGTGCCATTACATGTATTTGGTATCAAGGTGTTTTGAGCAATACTAAACAGGACCATGTAGCAGCTGTCTCACGTAGAAGCAACTTGCCATGAGTTTAACCTCACCAATAGTAATCTTTGGTAGTAGCTAAAATTTTAAATTTTAGTTGTGTTCACTTGAAGACAATTAAAATGACCCAGTTATACTTGCTTTTATTTATTGTGATTATTGTCATTCACTCGGATTAGTCTTTTTTTTTTTAATGTCAATTCTTTTAAATGTCTTTTTTCTTTCTCCCTAGCTGGGTTGAAAACTTTGGCCGAGAAGGTCTAGGACTGCTATTGGATGTTTTGGAAAGATTGGTTGAGACAAAAAAGTAAGGATGATTTAATATAAAATTGTGAGCTTCTCATAGTATGTAAACAGCGTTTAATTACACTAAACTTTCGATTTATTCAGTCAGGACAGAGTTGTGAAGAGGAGTCAGCATAAGGTTATACAGTGTTTGAGAGCCTTCATGAATAATAAGGTATGGGATTTTGTCTAATCTGGAAATCTAAATTACTGCAGTTCAATCAGATAAGGTGCATGATGAATGGGTGTAAGTCTGTGCCATTGGTGAAGTGATGGGTTGGTCAGCTGTGGTTTGAAGTTCTTTCTGTCTGTCAGAAGTCTGCCACTTCTTCTCTATATTCCCAGCAAATAATGTGAACTTTTGATGCTGGTATATGCCCTTATTACAGAATATGTGACCTATTTGGGCCTTTTCTTTCATTTAAATTTTTTAATTAAGTGTTTGACAGACTGAAATGTCATTTGAAATACTTACTGGAGGGAACCGTCACTGTCATTACTAGATATTCGATAGTCATTTGGATTCCCTCCAACTGTCCTTACAACTGTTCTTCTGTTGTTTAGTATGGGCTGGAAAGAATTTTGGGAGAAGAGAGGAGCCTTTTATTGCTGACCAAAGCAATTGATCCCAAGCAAACTAACATGATGACAGATATCGTTAAACTCCTATCTGCAATGTGCATTGTTGGAGAGGAAAACATGTAAGTACTGTATTTAAGTAAGAAATAGAAAGGTAATTTTACAGTATCCAAAATGATAGTTATACCTGAATTAAATGCTAAAATTTTCAATTCAGGTTTGGAAGTAATATCTGTATTATATTGTCATTTTTTCAGAATACCTTTGTCTGACTCTTTTTTTATTATGGTCATATCAGTAAGAGTTTTCTTTTTGACATGTGGATGTACTGCTTATATGAAATTAGTTATACAACCATTCTTTTTCTTAAAATTTATTAGTATTACTTTTAAGGTATCTTAATCCTTGTAATCCAGTAAGTCGTTCTTTGGCTACAAAAATCTCCAAAGGAAATGTGTAATGCTTAAACCTAAATTTTTATGCAAGAAATTGAGGCAGGTGAATAATTTGGCAGTATGGCTTTTCAGATAGCAAATGAACAGCAAGTTTAAGTATCTCTCCTGAGTGAAATGCTTCTCTTTTCTTGCAGCCTTGAAAAAATTTTGGAAGCTGTAACAGCAGCAGCAGAGGAAAGAAATGTTGGCAGATTCTCTCCTATTGTAGAAGGTCTTCAGGATAACTCAGTTCAGCTGCAAGTAGGCGATTTTTAAAATTTTTTTTTTTACAAAGCATGGCAACAAGTAAAAATAAAATTACTTACTTTTCTGTACTGAATAAGTCATTACATTAAAAAGGAGTAGGTATACTGTTTCAAATAGGGATACAGGATGTTGCACTTGGCCTTTTTGAACTCTGTGAGGTTCACGTAAGCCCACTTCTCCAGCTTGCCAAGGTCCCTCTGTATGGCATCCCTTGATGCTTTCATATTCAACTTCCTTTTAGGTGATTTCATAGAATCACAGGATGGTTTGGGTTGGAAGGAACCTTAAAGATTGTGAAGTTCCAACCCTCCTGCCATGGGCAGGATTGCCACTCACTAAATCAAGTTGCTCTGGGCCCCATCAGTCTGACCTTGAAACTTCCAGGGATGGGGCATCCACAACTTTCCTGGGCTATCAGTAAATTTTCAGGAATATCAAAAAATTTCTGGGATATAAATTTTTCCGTGGGATATAAATAATTTTCAAAAATATTTTGATGCAGTAGGGAGAAATGCTATAGATCATAAACATTGTTTTTCAATTTCAGGATATTATATCTGAGTTAAAAGAATTTAAGAGTCTGTATTCTCTATAGGGCATATAAGGGTTTGAGAACTTCCAGGTTGAAATTCACAGGATGTTTTGAGTGTAGGCTTTCAAATGTGATCCTGAATTTTCAGGGCTAGCATATATTTACACGTGTAGATTTAATAAAGAAAAAAGCAATGTATAAATCCCTTTCTTTAGAGTTAAAAATGCATGTGAAACTACCTTGAATGCAGCCCATTACTTTATTTAAAGTATGAGATAAATTAAATCAGTCATACATACCTCTACCTTTATCCATGATGGGTACTGACTGCAGCAGTGCTCAGCTCCGTTAGTGAGGGACCCCTGATGAGATAATGGAATTGGTGCAGGAAACTTCAGCTGAGCTACCTATGTAATAGTAACTTCTATTTTTCTAGGCCTACTCCTCAGATATTAAAAAAGTTTATTTCTACTAGTTATGCCTTCTCATGATTGCGATACACCTCCATTTGGTGTTTTGTTGTCCTCTGATATAGACGATAGATGCTTTGTTAAAACTAAGAATTCAGTCTAAATGCTACAGTTGCAATACTTATACTGAAATACTTAGGCTAAATACATTCATTTGGCTTTGCTGCCTATGTTAGCCTGAAGTTCCTGCAAATAGGTAATGTTTTGCTGTTTCATTTGCTGTATTTTGTGTAGACATGGAAACTTTATTGAAATTTTTTTGAGTTAAACTTCCATTTGGACATGTTCCTTCCACTCAAAGGCCTTTTGTTATTTATTTATCTTTTCAGACTTCACAAATGTTTGCTAGAAAAATCAACGTTCCTCATCTGAATCAGTTGTAAACTTTTCTAGCAATGACATTGACCTGGTGGTTAATTTGACAGTGTTTTAATGAGACAGAAGTTTATAGTTGTCAGTTACTTGGCATACTTGCCTTGATTGTCTGTTTGATGTACGTCTGCTGGCTTTGTGGCAGTTCAATTTGACACTAACAACTGACCTTTTCAATTTTGAATTGACTTAACATTTCTGTTACTAGAAGATTGAATACATAAAAGGCCTCAGTATGGTGATTTTTGTATTTTTAGTGAAAGCTCTGTGTATTTACTTTTTGCATTTGTTGAAAGCAAAGGATATTCTCCCTTTATCTTTCATAAAACCCAAAATTATGGAAAGCATACTTAAATGTTTTTGGCTCAAGACAAGATTGGTGACCTTAGTCTGAGAATATAACTACAACCAGGAGTAATACAGAGTTTCTGGTTTTGTTAAAGTAAATATACATCTTAAGGCTGTGCTCAAGAAAATGCACACAAGGCAGTCTGATACCTTGTGTATTTATGGTAACAACTGAAAAATGTCTAATACTTTGGTTGTACAATTCATGGATGTGAAGTATTTAAGAACTTAAAATATTTAAGACAGATGTGAAAACAACAGTAACAACAACACCGTGTTTGTTGCCCACTTCTCATTCTTATTGTAGAATCAGATGAATGCTTGTACTCTCTAATAATCAACTTTCATCACCATTCCTCAAGCAGGCAGTTTAACTAATGTAAGAGTGCTGTTCTTCTGTGCAGTTCTAGTTAGAGATGCCATACCCTTGTAATTTTGCACTTAGAACTGAGAAGAGATACAGTGGTGAAGCAAAGGTGCAATTTTTCCTTTCCTGGTTAAGTTCCTGAAAAATGAACACTGCTCACTTTGGAAACTTGCAGGTTCATGCATGTCCTAGGAGAAGCACTTCTGTAGCAAAGTAAAAGATCCTAGCTATTCATCAGTAGCATTAACCTCTAACTATATTCAGTAATCAGGGAATACCTTTTCATCTTTGGTTAGCTGAATCACGTGATGATTCTTGGTTGTTCTTTGCTCATGAGGTCCTTTCCATAACTGCTTACCTAATACAGTCAATCAGAACAAACTTACCTTACCTACACACCACGACTGATAAGAAGTGTTTAAAACCCATGTAAGTGTACATGCATGTGGATGGTACATCTCAAAAATATTACTAAGAATTTTTTGTCAATTATGAGGGAAATAATTGATGAGTATCAATATGGTGTCTGTACCAAAGCCAGTTTAATACTGGCAAGTAGAATTTAGCTAAATATGCATCATCTTTATAGACTTTTCTACAAATGCATAATTGCAGTAAGAGTAAGAAAAGTGAAGTAGAAAATCTTACTACAATTCCTCTTATTCAAATAGGCAAGAAATGACTGTTATGGTTTAGGACTGGTATTCTCTAATTTAGTGTTCCTCCTGAAAGCACTCCAAACCACATGCTGCTTGCCTAATCTTCCCTCCCCCTCCCCTGCAACAGACCAGAGAGGGGAATTGGAGGCATAAAGAGTAAAGATCAGGGGTTCATATAAAAACAATTTACTCAAATCAGCAATTGGATAAGAAAACAAACAGTAACAGCAACAATACTAATAAGTAAAGTGTACAAGAGAGGCAAACTATTCACATGTGAATGCTCACCACTATACCATGCCAAGTGTGGCAATATTCAACTGCTACCACGGTAGTCTGACTGCTCAGGAACTGTTATCTTGTCTGTGGAAGGAAAAAGCTGCTCTGAGCTACTGAGATATACCTGACATTTTCCACAAATGAAGGACTGGATATATGATGTGAGGTTTTCAACTGGGAAAAGCTACAAGTTTAAAGTACAGGCTGTGGAATCCTCAAAAAATGCATTTGTAAGTTGATAGACATCACCTGTTAAAAGCAGAAGATACTAGAATTGGAAGCCATAACTTCTGAATTAGCTGATTATGTCTGATCTCATCTATTTTCTCATGGAGTAAAGCATTCAACATTTTGACTTTCCAGGTGAACTGTGTCATCATCCATGCAAAGTTAGTCCCTACCAAAAATATTGTATCTGTATCCATCAATATAGGCTCATCTCTTGGATAACCAAGTCAAGTCTTGTAGATTCCTTGCCATGTGGTAGCAGGAGGTTTAAAGCATTCCAGGTGGAATATACTCACAGACTCAAAAGACCTTAGAAAACACAGCAGACTGTACTTACTGAAGTTCTTGAGGGATGAGAAAGGGAACAAAGCATCTAACTAGACCATCAGATGAAATGAAAGCTTTGCTCTCGGCTTTTCTCTGAAGAAAAGAAGGTACTTCTACACACTGTCATTGAATACCTGTTGTAAACAACAGGATACTCTCAAGATGTAATTACTGTCTGGTTAGAGGTACCCATCAGGAAAGAATTCTTACAGATTGCAATCCTCAGCATCATAAGAAAATTTTAATAGGTTCACCAGAGAGCTGTATATTACCATATGCCTTTTGCTGTTAGAGCCTAAAATAATTTCAGGTTTTCAGGGATCTTCTCAAGGGCAGATTGATAAAATACCTTTACCAACTGAATCTACAACTCTTCATGAATTGGTCTTAGTTGTAGACCATTTGCCCAAAATGTCTTGGTTGCAATGACTTCTGCCTTCCTAGGAAGCTAATTTACCTGTCTTCACTAAACTTTGTGCTACTTCAGCAGAAATCTCTTAATTTATTAAAAATGAGGCATCTTTTTTGATCTCAGCTTTTCCACCTTGTGTCCATGACTGAAAATTTAAAAGACTGTCAGTCTGTTTACAGAATCTTTTCCAAGGTAATTGAATACAAAAGAATGCAGTTAGGACCCACTCATTGGGAGTGCAAGTAGGAACTGATTGTTCTGTGTCTCAGGATCTGAGATTTATAGTGCTGTCAACTGGAGCGTCACAGGCATTCTCCCTAAGTGTTACATACTGTACCTTGAGAATTGTCAAGGAATGGTGTTAAATTTGTGATAATGTTTCTTCATTTTTCTTAATTAGGAGCATTGAAGTTGAATAGATATTCCTGGGAATTGTCTATAGTATGAATGTACACAGAGACAAACACTTGGAGAAAATAATTACTTATCTATAGCTTTCTTTCTCTCTTAAGAAGTTCTTTCCACTTTTTGGACTCTGTTTTCTCTTTGGTCTGACTCTTTATTGGCAGCGTTAGAATCTTGATGGTCTCTTTTTATGGAAGAAATTGCCATATCTGTTGTTTCTACTGCATTTCTTTGATTAGTGGCCATGCTCTGTAGAAGAAGATGAACTCATTGTTTGACTATTGTTATATTTTAAGTCAGTGCTTTCTGTTAATTTAATAATTCTAAATACCAACCTGTATTTGAATGTTCACAATTTTTTAAGCATACTGTTAAGAACATATAGCACTACTTTAAGATGAGCTAATCATAATCTGGTATTTCTAAGCAAAAGTCATATACCTCTGTCTTTGTAATTTAAAATGATTTAAGAGATTCTGTTCAAGTTTACAAGGTGTATTTTTCTCTTTCTCTTTGTTTTGGTATGTTCCCCCAAATCTAACTTTCCAAACTAAAATATTTGCAAGCTTACTTCTTTTTTGTGATAGAATGTAACAAATTTTTTTCCTTATGGGTTGTAGGTTGGCTAAACAGATGTATCTTGCTGCAGTCTACTTCTAAGTTAATGAACAAATTTCAAATTATTGTGATCATGTATGACTTGATTATCATATGCTAACTGCTGAATTGAATAATAAGAGAATATATTCTGGAAGGTATTATTGTAATAAATTTTTACTAGTTTGGTTTCCTGCAGTTTTTACCATTTGTTGCAACCAAATTCTTCACCACGTTGTGACGTTGCAACTTATGCAGTTTGTGGGCCTAAAGAGTACACCTGGTGTTCAAAGCCAAGAATTTGTTGTTAATCTAAGTGAAGTCTTGGTGGTCTAATAAAATGGCTCTCAGTAGTGCTAACACACATTTCCACTCAGTCTCATGCCTCTATTTTTCTATGCTGCATTTTACTTATGGTCATATTTTATCCACTAGTTACAGAAATGTGTGTAGCATTAAACTTTATGCTAGAGACTTGTACAAGGCTAGGAAAAATCTAAAACTAGTGCGTTGGTAGTCATTCTGTTACTAGACAAGTCCTGTTGCAGCTAAATAACCCAAAACTGAACTCCAGACAGGCAAGCCAAGTCTTAATAAAGCCTGACATGTCTGGAAGCATGTGGTGTTAGCTTAACACAAAACCTGTAGCCTAACAAAAACTAACATAAATACAGGGACTACAAGGCCACATGTCCCAAACAAGATTGTCAAGAATGATGGACAAACATTCAATAGGAAGATTTTTTCTATGTCCAAAAATACTTGGCTGTGCAACAGAAGAGACCTAATCTCTTCTCTGTTTGGTGCTGTTGAGACAATTCCTGGCAGATTTTATTCAGTGTACTTTTGAAAAGTGGACTGGACACCTTAGGTAGTTTCAAAATCATTGTTATTGTTGTACAGGGTTTGGACGTAAGCAAATCTGATTATATTATATTATGTATAGATTATATTATATTATCTTTTGGTGTTTGTAGTTTCCTCTTTTGGAGTTAGCACCACTTTCTGTTATGTAGTGTAGAGTGATGCTCTGGCAGTAATAAAAATATGAAAATAGGAAAAAGTACTCTTAGGAAAAAGTACATTCACAGAAAGATGTTTCAGGAGTAATACAAAGGTTTTGTTTGAATTTGAAGAAAATAAGTGACAAGTTAACTAAGTCATATTTTCCTTTAGATTTCTGAAATACCGTAGACATACATAGAGAAGCAAATTGTATAAAATAAGGGAAATAACAGATTTCAGAGAGGAGTGGTATCATAAGAGTAGTTCTGACAGGCACTACAAAGATGAAGAATCTACCATGTCAGTTAAAGGTCCAAATTGTTATAAATTTAGTAGCTTTCCAAGTGGGTTCTTCAGAGAAGAATAACTGAGGATTTTTTCTAATTTATAACTTTACAAATGCCTCAAATCTGAAAGATCTTTCTCAAGGGAATGCATTTTATTTAGGGCAAAACAGTCAAGGTTGTGGTATTGTTGTCTATATTCTTATTTAACTGAGATCTTTTAAAGTTGAATGCCACTAATATAATGTCAATCAGTATAATTTCTGCCATCTTCATGTTCTTGGGTGTCAACTTACGCTTGGAATTATATATACTTTGAAGATGACTAATTCCAGCCCTTAAAATGCTGGAATAACTTGAATAATGTATTTCTTGTGCATTGAAGCAAGGTGTGCTGACAAGGAAGAGGGTATAAAAAGGAAATAATGGCTGTTGACATACTTATTTGTGATTAACAATAAGTTGTTCTGAAGACTGAATCTGGAGAGTGAATTCCTGCTGCTCCTGGCTATAGGTTTTCAAGATGGATCTCTTGATTCTTCAGAGGAGGGACTACTCACTAGTTGACCTCATGTTTTCTTTTGAGCTGAAGTAGTGGTTCCCATGCAGTGTTCTGTAATAGTATGTTTAAAGAGTGAAGATTTCAAAAAAAGGGGAAAACCACCATTCTGTTCTTCAGGCTCAGTTGCGTTTAATCAACATTTTGTTTTTCAATGCATTTTTCTCTATTCACAGACTGTAGCCTTTACCATTTCTATTATGTTACTAACTTTTTAATATATATGTATAGATAAAGGTATATTTACAGTGATTTTTATGTGTTGAAAATTGTGCTTTATCTGCTAAAGTGCATTTGCTAAAGGAACTCAATATTTGTATAAAAAGACAAAATTCAATGTAGTGAGAAAATATTTAATTTTTATGGAAATTTCTGAACTAATGTTTGATGTTGTTACAACCTGTCCAAGGGGACAAAGGTAACTCAGGATCTTTTATAATAGATCTCTTGGGGCAGATTAAAATGAAACAACACTGACTGATGGATGTTTGTAAATATATATATATATAAATATATATAGGGCTTATTTTAAGGCAGTTTGGTTGCAAAGGAAAGCAGGTATGTAGCCATTCAGGTTATTATTATTCATGGTAATGTAACAATATGAAAACAAAGTAATATGAAAGCATAAAAATATCATCCAAGGACATGTATAAAGGAAAAGAAGAAAGAGAGAGAAAAGGTCAGATTGTGAAGATCTCACCCCATAAGTCTGCAAGACCTTGATTGTTGCACATCAGTTGTCATTGGTCTTGATCCGTCAGAGGTGGGTGAGAGGGGAAGAAGCCCATGAAATACAGAGTTTGGTGGGTTAAAATATGTTCAGGTGGAAAGTGCTGGTGCCTCTTCTGAGAAGAGGAGGCAGCTTTACTCTGGTGGAAGGCCTTCAGAAAATGAGTGTTAGGGCATTTTTGGGAGTCTTTAATGGTTTATGACACATTCCAAGACATGACAGCTGCCTTCCCAGACTTTCCAGGGTGGAAGAGGGGGAGCTTTATGCCCCAGTGGTTTGTGTAAGAGGGGACAATTAAGCATGGCAAGAGGCCCCATCCTGTCTCCACAGGACTCTGTGTCTTGTCTCACTGGTAGTCCACCGTTCAACCCTCTATCTTGTAAGATCAGAGGCCATTACACACCCAAAAGCTGACCTCCTCCTCCTCCTCCATGAGAATCTGGCTTCAACAAAGCATCCTGGAACCTTTTCACATAGTAATGTGTTGAGTCATCAGCCCTTAACAGTCTCAGTTTTCTCACAGGTATTTATAGCTCATGCGGCTGATCAGGAATTAAAGTAGCTTAATTATAAGTTTACAGTAGTTTTATAATGAGAAATGATGTAGTGTCTAATTATTTGTTGTATCTTTTTGATTGTGATGCATATTGAAATCTAAGAAATAAAATGGTTTATTATTTACTCTGTTACAGGTAGCTTGCATGCAGCTCATCAATGCTCTCGTTACATCTCCTGATGACTTGGATTTTAGGCTTCACATCAGAAATGAATTTATGCGCAGTGGATTGAAAGAGATATTGCCAGTAAGAGTCTCATAGTCTCTCTTTGCATTACTATTTAAAATTTTTAACTATTTGAGCTTGAGAGGGGGAATAGGAGAACAAGTTCTAATAAATTATTCTCATTTTATAAGTTTGACCATGAGCGGTTAAGTATGAGAATCAGCCTAAAAATGAAAATGAAAAGGTTAAGTGTGCTCTCTGAACCTTATTATGATCCCTCAGGATTCTAGGAACTTACTTAAGAACATGTTATGCAACACTTGTAAGCCAGGCTGAAGTCATGTTTACCTTTTGAATTTTTAGTTTAACTCATATGTTCTTATAATTTTCAAATTTAAAATAACTTAGATGTAGGGAAGTTATTAAAATGATAAGGTTTATTTACATATGGAATTTCTAATTTTGCAAGCCTTTCTACTGTTTCTTCTTTGCAGCAACTGAAATGTATAAAGAATGAAGCACTAGATATTCAGCTGAAAGTGTTCAATGAACATAAGGAAGAAGACATGATTGAGTTCTCTCATCGCTTAGAAGATATTAGATCTGAACTAGAATATCCTTTTGAAGGCCAGTGGCATCTTTCCTTGTGTCAGAAATAGTGTGGCCAGCAGGACTAGGGCAGTGATTGCCCCTCTGTACTCAGCACTGCTGAGGCCATACTTTGAATCCAGTGTTTCGTTTTTTGCCCCTCACTACAAGGAAGATATTGAGATACAGGACTAAGTTTATAGAAGGGCAAAAAAACTGGTGAAGGGTCTGTGGCACAAGTCTTAGGAGGAGCAGCTTAGGGAGCTGGGGGTGTTTAGCCTGGAAAAGGCAGCTCAGGGGAGACCTTGTCAGTCCCAGTGACTATTTGAAAGGAGGTTGCAGTGAGGTGAGGGTTGGGCTCTTCTCCCAAGTAACAAGTGATTGGAGTGACTGGATGAGAGGAAAGGGCCTCAAATTGCAGTAGGTGAGATTTAGATTGGATATTAGGAAAAATTTCTCAGAGAAGGTGCTGTCAAGCATTGGAACAGGCTACCCAGGGAAGTGGTGGAGTCTCCATCCCTGGAGGTCTTTAAAAGACATGAAGATGTGGCACTTGGTGGGCTGGCTGAATGGTGAACTTGGCGTCTTTGGCTAATAGTTGGATTTGATGACATTAGAGGTCTCTTTCAACCTAAATGATTCCATGAAATGAGCAAGAGAGACATGAAGAAAATAAAGCATATAATGAATATTTTTCTGGTGTAATTTCTGTTTAAGAAGTTATTATCATTATCAACATTAGACTGAAATATTTTGTTCTTTGTTCTTATTCTCCTTAACACTTTTACTGAAGTAAATGATGTTTACAACATGGTGTGGAATACAGTTAAGGACACTAGTGCTGAAGGATATTTTCTTTCTATTCTCCAACATCTTTTGCTGATAAGAAATGATTATTTTATCCGGTATGTTTAATTCTGTGTTAAATGTTAATTATGGATTTTTTTATCCTTCAGTCATTAATGGAATATTTCTTCTGTAAATTTAAGGATAAAAAGGGTTTAGTCTTTCTGCATGGATTGCAATTTGTAAGTATTCCTTTGTGAAGTCATGTTTAAAAGTATAAGCTTTACAATTTTATATATAAATATAGAAAACTGGTGAGATCTGAGCCTTATTGACCACAAGTATAAGTGATCAGGAGAGATTTCTTAATCAGTTTTAAATTGTGGTAGTAACATTGTAATCAGGTGGTGTATTTGAGTCAAAGGACAAAATCAAGTATGCACAGAAGTTCACTTTAATCTGAATGTATGCTTAATTTAGAGTAACTTTTGGGTTGGAATTGAGTATTTTCAGTATACATTATAGGTCAGTATGAACATGTTTGTGTCTTCTGGAAAATTCATCAGATAAATTACAGGGAAACAGTAATAAAACCTTAAGTGTTCGAAGCTGCCAAATACTTTTCTTCCAAAAATCTGCTAGTGTTGTTTTTGAGGAAGCATCGGAGTAACCACATATGAATTGAACAGGGAAGAAAAACCATCTGCTTTCTGCACACCATTCTGCATAACCTTGCATTTTGGGCAAGGTCTAGCGCAGATGTACTTTTAAAGGTTAAAGGTGCTTGACTGTATGGGTACATCTGTGCTAGACCTCTTCCACTTGAAAGGGTTTGAATTCACAACTTGTGTTTTCTGGGCAAGTGACCCAGCTGTCATACCCCCTGGCATTTTAGAACAAGGTGTTTTTCATTCCTCATACTGAAGCAGGGCTGCAATGCATTTGTTTGTTACACAAGTCACAAAACCAGATGGAAGGGAGAACCTCCTCTTTACTGAGAGGAAACAGGAGGTAGTCTTTCCTTCCGGTATTTCCATAGGGGGAGAAATGCAGAGTTTATAGTATAAGAATTATTTATCTTTAGGTCCACTCCTTTTTCGGGCTTTGTGTAAACTGTTCTTGTGTAATAAACTGCCAAATGTGTTTGTCCTTTGAGACTTTTGGGATTTGCACCTACCTTTTTATGGAAATAATTCAGCTCAAAGCCCAAAGCTTTTGACCTTACTGTGTTATAGACATGATTTTAAATATAGGTTGATAAATAAATATACTGTAAAATGGCTCATCTGTGTCTTTAGTCCACAGTATTTCAAATTAATTGAAGAGTGTGTGTCACAGATAGTGTTACATCGAAATGGAACCGACCCAGACTTCACATATCGTAAAAGATTAGATATAAATTTCAGCCACTTACTAGGTAAGTACTGTGTTTGGAAATGATTACAGTATCATACTTCTTTTTATTTTCAAAACCCAAGTTCAAATTGCATGTGTGATTAAGAATCTTATGTTCCCTGTATATGTTTAAGTGTGTTTGTTTTTTTTTTTTTTCAAGATATTTGTGTAGATAAAGCAAGATTAGAAGAATGTGAAGAGAGGGCTTCTGAACTTTCCAGAAAAGTAAGTAATTTTTTTGTTATGTGTTCATAAGGTAGCACAGGGGATTACTTGAGAGATTCATAAATGATGTAACTGAACATGGCGTAGTTTTTTAACTTTAATTACTATTAGTTCTGTGTTAAAATATAAATCTGGGTATTCCTTGTGGACTAGGAAGCAAAATAGTGTAAAGTAGCTAACCTTAACTGATAATCTGTCTACCATTTATTTTAAGGTTTCATGTACAACTCTCCCAAAAAGTCCATTGAATACTTTATTTGAACACTTATCAGTTTCTCTAACAAGAGAAAAATAATGGACTCGTTTGTATCTACAGACTTTGTATCCATTTTTTTTTAAGCTACTCTGTGTAATGCCAACTTTATGGCATTTCATATAGTAAAGGTCTGTAGAGGTGATACAGATGGTCCTTCCACTCAGCAGACACATGAAATTTAGAGTAGCAGATGTGTTGTATGGGTTCTTAGTATTGTTAACATGAGTTTTAGCAAGCACAAAAGGAAAAGCTGAAATTTAAAGGAACTATTCAGAACTGACTGGTACCAACAATTTTATTTCTTTTTCTTTTTTCTTTAGTTTGAAAAAGATTTTGTAGTTCACCAGGAGACCCAGGCCCTACTGCAAAAAAAAGAAGAAAGAATCAATGAACTTGAGACAGAATTACAAGCTTTTAAATCACAGGTATAAAACAGTTTAAATGAATGTATGAAGTATTGTTTTTGAAAGGGACTTCATTTTGCATCTTCTGCAGATTTTGATAGTACAGCTGAGGGTTTTTTCAAAGAATCTTTGTTATTGATTACTATTGCATGTGAGTTTCCTTTATTTCTGTTTTATAAAAATAATTGTAATGTGACATTAATTAGCTCTGTGAGTTCCCAGATGATCCCTTTATGCCTGAGCTCTGTTAATTAACTAGTTTCTTCTGTTTTATTTGGGTTTTGCTTTCAGTGTCATATATTTCCAAAGTAATTAACCACATAGGGTAATAAGTCTTATGCTTTTAGATTAGCATTCTTCTTTGTGATCTTTATCCCTTCACAGGAAATTGCTCATTATGCAGTTTGCTTTACTGAAGCCTTACCATGGATATCCAGCAGTGAAAGAAATAACTGTGGCTGGATAAGAACATTTCCTGATAATTTTTCAATTTTCAAGCATAAATTGATATTTGAAAATGTGATGAAGAGGAATAGTGGAGATTTTTGAGAGTATCACTTGAGTTAACTTGTAGCTGCTACAACTCTTAAATCTGTCTAAAGAGCCTTTGTGACCCAGTGACTTTTCCTCTGTCTTATTTCCTGGAATAAGAAAACAGTCTAAAAATGGCTAAAGGAAGAGCTTTGGAAAGACATGCATATAGGCGTTATTTTTTATGCTACTTTTTTTACTACATTTGAGGGTTTTTTTAATACTTATTAGCTTCTTTAATTTTCTCAGTGAGGAAAATTAATTTAGCTCTTCTTTGGTCTGTTAAAAAATGTCATTCTAATTCAGGTTTCTGGTCAAAATTGACTGTTAATGTCAAAGTCAAACATTTAAAACCAGCAATTACAGAAATTGTTGCAGTCTGAAGAACCAAATGTAGTAAGAGTTGTATATAATTCATTAAGAAAGTATTTCTCTGTGCGTATCTTGAAAACATACTTAAATACTTTTTGTAAACGAAATTGGTTTTCTCTCCTGTTTTGCTTTTTCTGTTGTTCACTGTATTAAATATAACCTTTTTTATATGCAGAGAGTATAACATGATTTTGCTCTAACTGTCATACCATGAATTATCCCACTGTCATTAATGGGATACATGAAAAGTTTTGTAAATATCAAATAATTGATTACTGTAACTTAGTACTCTTAAATAGACATGTCTAAAGAGTAAACTTTGGCTTCCATATGGCATCAGTTGCTACTTAGCATGTCGACTTCCATCTCTAATGACTATTTTTCTCCTGGTCTTGTTCCTTTACTCTCTTCTTGCATTTGGTATGTGTTTATGTATTTCTTTCATTACTAGAGCCTATCTGTTCAGTATCTATTTGTCAGTGGAAACAAGGTTTTTGTTCAGAAATTCAAAACATGCTGTGCATGCATTTATTTGTATTTATTGATATTCAGCTATTTCCTTTTAGAAATATTAAATCCTTTGCTTATTTTAGTGCTCTTTGTTTTTTAAAAATAAAAGGGACTGTTTCAGGTCATAGTTGAAAAAGCGATTAGTACTAACCGCAGTAGATAAATATTTCTTAGTTATTCTTTTTTTTTTTTGTCAGATACCTATTTATTTATGTTTAAGGTCTATGATAGAAGTTTTTAAAAAAGTAGAAATAAATATTTTTTTAGACTTTTCCAGGCTATCTTGATGCAATAAAGATGTCCTTACTATACAGAATAAGTAGCTGGTGTGTAAGACAGCTTTATTTTTTTGAAGGATTTTTTTTTCATCATTGCTTTGTGTTTTCAATTGTGTAGAATCAGAATGTTCGTATATTGGAAAATATCTGTTTTTTGACAGGATGACTTATCTCTTCAAATTCTGCTAGTATGTCCTTGTAATGTTTCTCTGTAATCTGTAGGATAAGTAAGAACAATAGAGACTTGGATGTTACTTTTTTTTTATTTGAGCTAAACTATGATAGTCTAGATAAAATCTCTTTAAGAAACTTATCAGACCCTTTTTTAGATCATGGTCAGTGAAATGTGACAGGTGGGATACAACGTTTCAGTTTGTCACTTTCGGTGCATTCCCTGGTCTGAATATCCACTTCAAATATTGAGACTTTGATTATGAAATCAAAATCATGTTGACCTCATTGTCATTCATACTTGATTGTTCTAAACATGAAAAATGATACTGACTTTCAACTGGCTTTCTGAATTTAATCTATAAACTATGATTGTTATAGAATTTTGTTGATAAAAATGTGAAACTGAGTAAGAATATTTTCCTTATCAGTATGGCTCTGTACCACCTGGTTTTCTGCCATCAACATGTGGAGATGCCTCTGTTGTTCCACTGGAAGGTGCAGGACATCAGCTTCCACCACCTCCTCCACCACTGCCTTCTAATGGAGCAGTTCCACCACCACCACCCCCACCTCCTCCTCCACCACTTCTGAGTGGCTTGGGTGCTCCTCTGGCTTTTGGTGGTGCTCCTCCACCACCGCCTCTACCAGGCCTGCCTGGAATACAGTGGTCCCCGCCTTCCTGTGCTTTGCCGTTTGGAATGAAGCCTAAAAAAGAATTTAGGCCTGAGGTTACCATGAAAAGACTCAACTGGTCCAAGGTAGTACTGATTAATGGCAAATACTTGATGTAAAATCTGACGTTGAACTTAGGGTAAACAGATTGTCAGGAGTAAGACTACATAAGCCATCAATACATTAGTTAAAATTATGTAATATATGAATACTTTTTTACCTCTAGTTTTTTATTGTTTTCTGAAAACTGTATTTCATTGGTTCATCTGGGCAAGTATCTGTTGACTTAGTGAGATGCCTGGAAAAGTCAGTTCTAGAATTCTAGATGAATCTTGATGCCTGCATGCTTCCAGGGTCCTACTATGTGTTGTCTTATAGCAAACTCTTTACACTGGATCAGTCACTGCACTGTACTGATAGCTATAGTTCCCAAACAGGTATCTTGTATCTATCTAACCTGGACTGTGGAAAGAAGCAGTGCAGGTCTCTCAGTTTGTCCTTAGTATAAATGTACATATATAAATTTAATGGCTGACAAAATATAGAGTCAGTTTGTAGTTTGGTTTTTTTTCCTCTCCATTGTGACAGGATCAAGTATACCAGGACTATCAATCTACTAAGTTTGAAAACTATAATTATTTAGACCAAAATAAGTCAGTAAAGAGGTTTTCCTAGTTTTATGAAGTAATCAAAGCTGCATTCTAAAAAGTAAGGCAGTTAATATCTAATTAAATAAGCTGTGTTCAGGAACTATTTAAAGTTTTACCCAAGTTTTAAATCTAGACCAAAGCTAATTTGCTACATTTAGACTTTGGATAACAGAGTATGTTGTCTGCATTTTTAGAATCAGTTTGTCCAAAAATACTTACTGTAAGCATTATTGTTTTCAATAAGAAATATATTAACAACTCTAGAGATGAGTTGTATACCGACAGTTTACATTTTACAGAGCTCTTAATATTTAGTTTGCTTTAGACTCTACAGAGCATAGTGTCTGCATAGTATCGAAATAATTTAATTAGTAAAATTTTGTTTTGTCTCTTGCTTGTAGATCAGGCCTCAGGAGATGACAGAATCCTGTTTTTGGGTTAAGGCAGAAGAGGACAAGTATGAGAATGCTGACATGCTTTGCAAATTGGAACTTACATTTTCTTGTCAAAAAAGGGGTAAGTAAGTAGTTGATGGTAATTTTCAGCCTTTGGAGAGATGTTTAAAATTCTTGGGCCTTAAATAAATATATGATAAAATTTTAGAATACAACATTAATGATTTTGGTTTTAAGTGGAATGTGTGAAGAAAAGAGCTTGAAAATCCTAAACTGCTTAAAGGAGTAATATTTAACTATTTTACTTAAAGGATGGCAAAAATTGTGTTCCTGTTTTGCCAGGGGACTAGGAGCAGCACAAGAGACACAGACAACAACTTTAAAGCAAAAGTGTATAAATTTACTGTAGTGCAAAGCATTACAAAAGAAACAAAGAATTACAGAATTATTAGGATGCACCTAATCGTTACTGCAAAGAGTGCCTATAGTGATTAAAAAAGATACATCCCCTTACCCTTTAATACATTACCGTAATCAGCACTCAGCCTCTCACATTGGCTGGGGAGCCCCTAATCACAGCGAGGGGCTCAAGAACCAGTTTCCAATAACTGGGAAATCCTACTCAGGGCGTAGTGAGGCTTCCATCTTTGGTGCAAGTGGGGTCCAGCTTTTATATAGTTAAACAAACAAACTTACATCACTACTTAGTGCAGAAAACATCAGGCTCTCTTCTCTCCTTGCTTTTCACCCAAAGCCTGGCCAGGGCTCAGAGGAAAATCAAGGGAGTCAGTTTGGACCATTTACTGTTGAACAAGGCCAGCCGTCTACTTCCATGGCTTTGATCAATCTCTAAATATAGAAAGATAGATACATTCATATCTCAGTAATGAACAGATACAAATCTTCACTAATAAGCGAATACCAATATATCTTACTAATAAGCACACATGTTTACGCAGGTGTAGTCTTATCATACTACGTATTTTACTAATGATTAGTACAAAATTTTGGCTAATAATTTTGCTAATAACATGGTTAAATATAACATTAGGTTGGAAGGTTCATCTAGAGGTCGACTCTGGCTCAGTTCCTGTTGTTCAGGCCTTAACACTTCAGTGACCTATAGGGAGACCTCACAAAAAAAACCCCAAGAAATGCTTTTGGATAATACAGACTTTTATTTAGTCATATTTGAAAAAAAGTTTATAAAATTTTGTCAGAATACTTTCATAAAATACTACAATCTAATCTAGAGGCCAGAAGATGATGTGTTTACCCTCAGAATGGATGTGATAATTGGTATGTTTTGGTTCTATGAACGAGGAGAGTATTTTAGTGATTTTTTTTACTTTCTGATAAATCTGTAGTAATATAGATCTCCTTTGATACTTGCTTTGCTTCTTCAGTTTTTAAAGCATTGTGGAAGAACAAAATTTGAAAATATTCCTGACTTTAAACCTTTTCTCCCTTCCTGGAAGTAGGTTGTCTCGGTAATAGTGTAGGTTATTCTGTCCCATATATAAAATGCCTATATTTCTACTGTTATTTCTTGACACAATTTTTTTCCCCTCATTTTTTGGTATTAGAGACTTAGTACTTTGGGACAGCCAAAGGGCTGAAATGATTAATTTCTTTGCAAATCAAAATGGTAATATTTTATTTTTAGTGTTTTAAAAAAAAAATTACTTTGTTATTTTTATTAGTATAGTGAATGACATTTTCAAATGTCTTCTTTTCTGGGATATGTTCTGGTGTGTATTATCCAATATTTTTTTACCATAACCAAGAACTTTATTCTACTCCTATCAAAGCAGGCTTTTTATGCTCTTGCAGTATTTCTACTATTAAGTATAATACTATTAAGTATTATAGTTTATTAATGTTGATACTTAATAATATTAAGAATGTTATACGAAGATAAAAAGGCAAGAAAACCTCACAAACCATAGACATGTCTGCTTGAATCTGTTAAAGCCCAGAACCTAATTATGGTTCCTTTATAATGTTAGGAGAATTCCCAAGAATGTTCCCTGAATTAATGGGTTGGAAGGTTTAAAAACCACTGGGGGAAATAGTTTCTTATGTGTAATTAAACAGTAAAATTTGGGAGACAAGATGACGTTCAGGCCAAACATGTTAATGGCTCAGAAGAGGATTGCAAGTCTCCACAGACAGCAAGAACATTAGAGTTAACAAGATTAACATCCCTCAAAATTTAACTGAACAGACTGAATACATTGTTTTGACAAAACCTAATATAACAGAGTTACTGGATTTACAAGCGAAAAGTCAGTGAGGTACACTTTTATACCAAATATGTGTGTACGTGGGCAATTTAAAGGCTGTAGTCTGCAGGGACACATTTATTTCCTTCTTTACAGGTGAGGCTTACTGCTTAATCTTTTACATTTTTAAGTTTTGAAATCTCTTTCATCTCACATGGGTCATACAAGTGTACCATCACCTTAATTTTTGAAAGAAAGTGGAGACACTAAAGATTTTATTTAGAACAGTAAGTAGGTATTTTAGGGGGAACAGGGAACTAAATTTCATCTTTGTTCAAGTGAGTGGTTTACAGAACTTTATGTGAATGCTTAAGCACATTAGTAGACAAGACCAGGTATATCTGTGTCTCTTGTTGACAGCACAAATTCTAGTAAAGAGGTTAGCAAAGTAACTGCTTTTGTTCTCATGACCACGGAGAGAGAGGATACTTCTTTGTAACTTACACATAACTTACTGTTTTTAAAAAAACTTATCAAAGAAATTGTAGACATCCCGTTTTCTTCACAGTCTTGAAGAGATTTAACACCAGGCTTTCTAAAGTGGAATCAGCAAGCTATTCACTGTACTCAAATTGGGAACAGTCCTTGAATATTTCTAAAGCTTTGTCTCTAAAACCAGAAAGACAAGAAATTGAAAATGATTCTGTAGTCAAATGATGACATGCAATGAATGAGCTGGTTTCCACTCTGCTGAAGGGTCTGCTTATGCACTCTTTTCACTGAAATCTTTGCATAAGAAGAGGTATCTAGTTGTGGAAGCAGGGACCAGAATGTTCAATGATGCTTTAAGTGAATTTTATTCTCATTAAGTAAAATCAGATTGAAGTACTCAAATGTTTGGTTGTTACATTTTGCTAGCTAATGTGCCAAAAGTATTTTAGTGTTGATCTGGAAAAGGAAGTCTTTTGTCTATGTAAATAATCCATTGAGGAATTTCTGCTAGAAAAAAGAATACAGAACAGTATAGAATAGATTTGAAGTTTTAGCAGATGTTTATATAGGAATTACAAATGATGTTGATTCTGAAGGGGCATTGAAGCAATTGAAAAACTGAAGATGTTATGGAGATATGAAAGAAATACTACTGCAATAATAAAAAATTAAAAAGGAAAATGTTCAAGACAATATCACAAGAAAAAAGCATTACAAATATGGAAGTATGAAGATAATGAGAAAACTCATTAAATTTATCTAGATAAATGTAAATGGGATGTTCTTCACATATTCATTTTGAATCCATGAATTTCTTGCATAGGATCCTTTAGCTAACATTGAAATATACATTTAATTTTTTGAAAAAGAAATTAGCTAAGGAATTAGTGGGACTACTTGGAGACAACTTCAAAAGTTCAGCAGGTTCAAAGAACATTAGAAAAATTCCAGGATAAAAGGTCCAAAAGAAATAGGAAAGGATATATTTGTAGGAAGGAGCTTTCTCTTTTGGGAAGTGAGGAGAATGGGTTATAAAAAGTGGTAAGACTGGCATAGTGTCTTTTCAAGTGACATCTCTTATTGCAGCTTGTGGTTCTTAATCATGGATATGAGTGCCTGGTTGCTTCAAGCTACTATGTTTTAAGACTTACAGTACTGAAATAAGGTAAATTTTAATATACAATTACTTGGTCTTATCATCTTATAAAAGGGAGAAAAGTAACAAAACATCTATAATAAATATTCTTGGTTTGTGGAGATACTTTGAAGAGTACTGGTATGGAGAAGATCATAGTCTCTGAATAAATGTAATTAATGTAATGAGACTCTAGTAGTCAAGCATAATGTTGGATATCTTCAGGATACCTCGAGGTAGAACCAGCTACATGTTTGCTTACAGTAATCCTTTGGGTGCTTGAAGAGTTTTACCAAGGTGATTCCCAAACTTGGGTGGTTGTATAGAGAAAACAAGAAAACAACCTCTAACGAAAAAGAAGTCTTTGGAAGCATTTCAATCCAAAATGACAATTTGTCTTATGTATGTAAAATAGAAGAAAGGTAGTAGTTTTATGAAATGTGTTCTCTATAATTATTGTGCTGCATTTATAAATATCCTATTAATAAATTGATTTGACTTGGTCCAATGACTCTTATGCTTAAAGTGTTAAAGTCCAAATGAGGATTAGAAATTGCACATCAAGTATACAAGAAAACACTTGTAAATTCTTAATTATTTTTAGCAAAATGAGGATAACTATGCTTAATGGGAGATGGCATAAAATATTAGAAATTTACTCTTCTTTTCTACATATTGAAGGGAACTGATCTGGTAAACTCGAGAAAAAAAGATCGCATGATCTCTCTGTATTTTTTTTTTTATCAACTAGGACAGATTTTCATCCTAATCTTATTGGAGATGGCAGTGTCTGATCCCATCACACCAGAGCTCCTGCCAGACTTGATTATTTAGAAATAAAGCACTTCTGTGGGAGTACTATCTCCGTTGGCACTTGTCTTGAAAAGGTCAATATAGTTCTAATTTTTTTTTCCCCTGTATACTCAAAGAAAAATCATCAAGGCCTAAACTGCTATAGTGCCAACTAAGTCTCAAATATTTTAAACCAGAAAAGAGAGTAAATTATAGGAAGAAGATCAAATTAACAATATAAATCACTTTAGTGCTGTATTTGACCTGACACAGTCTGCCTAGCATAAGCAAGAGAACTTGCAGTCATCCACCTGAAGGATTAGGTGGAGTCCAGCATCCTCATACTTTCCTCCTCTGGAGGAGAGTTTGTCAACAGTAGTTCCAAACAGTACTTCTTGTAGAATCTTATTATTACAAACCTGTCAGACTGCCAACAATATATTTGAATAACTTATGCTATAATACAGCACTGAGTAA